AATCCATTGCTTCCAAGTCGGAACAACTAGTAATCGTTGCTAGAAAGCGTTCACAAGTCATCTAGTTCAGGCTCACCACTAGCAATATTGCTAGTGGTGAGCCTGAACTAGGTGACTTGTGAACGCTTGGAACGCTCCCACGTGTATGGCTTAGGACAAATTGTACATTCACCTCAGTAAATTCTAGTCCTCGCCCGGGTTGGGGAAAATGGGTCGGCAGCTGCAGTAGCGTGCCACTTTCTCCGCTCAAAAAGCACAGAAACTGTGCTGGAGAGTAGTACCGACTCCATACTCCTCCTCGCACAGCCGCACGGCCAGCCGGGGTGTAGGCGTAGCTAAACGTGTTACCTGTCCACGCCATGTCACCTCTTGGGTCAGCTTCTACCGCTGAGTACCTGTTTCCTGGAGGGACGCAAGAGCTGCACCTGGAGAATAGCGCGGACGGAGTATGGAAACGGTAATCGGACACCACTACCTTGCAGCCCCATTCCCGTGCACATTTGAACGGAGAAAGTGGTACGTTACTGCGACTGCGAACCGGTCGCCATTCGCCTCGCAATGACCGACCTCGGAGGTGACGGTACAGTATGTCTTCAATTAGCGTACGAGCTTTTCATCATATGAAATGCTTGAATATGCAGGTGGGAGTGTACATGCGGTCATTTCTGCTGGAAATACTTGGGCGTGTCAGGTGGCTGGGTTTGACGCGGCCCAGATCTGTTATCCAACAATTGCGTGCAGCCGTTCGAATCGAAAGCACCGTTCGAATCAGCACATTTTTGTCAATGTGACATCAGTCGATAAATCCCATCAGAAAAAAACTGGGTGGTCGAGAATCCACGAAATCCACGAAGGCTTTTTTGCCTGGTCCTGATTGATGAAGTATTTTCCAGCAAGGAAGTTCTGAAAATGTTTGAAAAGGTGATAGTCGGTTGGTGAAAGGTCTGGAGAATATGGCGGGTGAGGTAGAACTTCAACCCCCAATTCGTTCAATTTATGGATAGTGATTTGTGAAACGTGTGGGCGGGCGTTGTCATGCAAAAGAATCGGACCCTTTCTGTTGACAAGTGCTGGCTGCAGCTGACGCAATTTTCGGTACATTTCGTCGATTTCTTCACAGTAGGACTCTGCTGTGATGGTTTGGCCTGGTGACAAAAAGTAGTGGATCACACCAGCCGATGACCACCACACTGTGACTAAAAAGGTTGGGGAGCGGTGGTGGTTCAGTGTGTGATTAGCAAAGCGAGACAACACCTCAAACTTGGGTAATTAAACTTTAATACACGATTATGTAGTAACATCATCATAACGGATAAGATCTTCTCAATGTACTCGATAACCTGAGATATAAAACATGCAGAAATGAGGTGAAAACGGAAAAGATCTTCTAAAGCACCTTCATAACCTGAGATATGCATAAATGAGCAACATAACAACCATAAATGAGGTTAACAAAGTAACAGCTAAGCGACACGGCATAGTCGTAAGGACAACAAGGAATAACCAAAACAACAAAAGTGAATTCCAGAGTAATATCGAGAAAGAATAGCAATACATACGCTGTAAATGAGATGGAGAGGAGAATATTAATGACTTTACGCAAAAGAATCGGACCTTTCTTTTGATAAGTGTTGGCTGCAGCTGACAATATTTTCGGTACATTTGGTCGGTTTGTTCACAGTAGGGTTCTGCTGTGATGGTTTGGCCTGGTGATGAAAGATTATAGGTGGATTACGAACAGCCCGATGACACCAAACCTGACCAGAATTTTTTTTTCGCGAGGGTTCGGCTTTGAAAATTACCTCGGTGGTTCCTCCAAATCCAACCACTGTCCGGAACGTCTCCTGTTATCATACATGATCCATTTTTCATCACAGGTGACAAATCCGTTCAAAAACGGGTCAATTCTTTTGCGCAAAAGCAGTGAAGAAGGAACCTCGAGACGTGCCGATTCCTGCGGTGCACTGCCGATGTATGTTCACGCCATATTGTTCGAGTTTTTTCACTTCCAATGCGTTTCCAAGACATCGTAAACAGTGGATGTTGCAATGGCCGCTTTCTGCAATCTCTCTGACTGTTTGGAATCGGTCGGCCTCCACAAACGCCTTCAAATCCTTCGTCAGATATTGCTTTAGGTCGACCGCTATGAGGCTCACCTTCAAGGCTGAAATTTCCAGAACGACATTTGTTGAGCCATTGCGGCACAGTGCTTTCTCTAGCACTATTGGGCCTCCACACCTGGTTAATTTGTTGAGCTGTTTCGATTGCGGATTGCCCCAATTTATAGCCGAAGAAAAAAATCGTCCGAAGTGCTCTTTTCACATGCTTGAAAAAATCTTGAAAAAAGAGGGTTTATCAAGCAATGGTGAAACGGCAATTATACCATCAGATAGCGCAAGAAATTCTCTACAGTGATGTGTACTACCTTAGAAGCAAGCAGCAGATATGAGTTTTTAATCAGCAGTGAATGTACAAAGATTAGGTGCACAAAACGCTAAGAACTTTCCGGACAACCTAATAGCTTCTGAAGAGAGAAGCAGAAGAAAGCAAGAAAGTGCAAACTGAGAGCGGCTGGACTGCTCCCGCTATTTATAGCCCGTTTTGGCGCGCTCCCGCGCGATCGCGAGGATTTGATCCGCGCCTATTGATCTGTGATCGGAGAATCGCGGTGTTTCCGCGATACTCCGCCCCCTTTTGGACGAGTCGACATGGGCTCAGAGAGCTCTGCGCAGTTCTTCCAGACGTCTCAGGATCTGATCGGCGGTGATCTCGTAATCGCGTTTTCGAGCCAGAATATCCAAGGACTCTTCTGGTAACGTGCATACTGCGGAGGCGTGTCCGGCTTTATGGCAGTGATGGCATCTTTTGCTGTATTTCGGGCAGAAATAGCCCATATCGCATTCTATGTCCAGGCAGATGGTACAGCGTCTCCTTCTTCTCAGTGAATCCAATCTCTCCTCCACTGTCCGGACTTCGGGGCAGGAATCGGAATAGTGCCTGCCTTCAGCAAAGCAGAAAGCGCATCGCATCGTTGTCTCTTCTTCACGTGTGATTCCTTCTTCATATTGTCTAGGACGACATCTTCGGAGAGCGGCAAGTTCGCGTATCTTGTTGTGGACTTGCTTCAGTTCTTGCTCGAGATGATGGATCTCTTCGAATATAGACTCTTTTTCTTCGTCCGGTGGTTGTGGTTGTTCTTCTTGGACAGACTCCATGAACTCCACATTTTCTGCGATTCTCGCTTGTTCGCTTTCGCTGACTCGCCCATCACGATTGTCTTGCAAACTTCCTCGCAACTGGTCGAGTTCTTCCTTGATTTCCTTCAGGGAGTCGCAGATTCGCTTGTTCGAGACATCTTGGCGGTACCGCTCTTGTTGTAGACATTCTGCTCGAATATCCTTTATCTTCGTGAACAGCTCCTTGATCACTTCTTCTTGGTCGGTCAGGATCCGCTCGATTGCTTTTTGTGAAGTTGGTAACGTGAACTTCCTTCCAGACGTGTTCGTATACTGCTGAGGAGTGCTCATCTGTGAGTCCCATGCCTTCTCGGAGATCATATTCATAGAATAATAACGGGAACAGTCGAGTAGAAGAGAGAGAGTTGCTTTCGCAGAAGATGCAATCTTAGAGAATAGTTTTCAACAGTCAACTCCTTGATGCGGGCTTCGCGCTCTAGGATTTTCCAAGGTTCATTGTTATCAAAGAAATAAGAGATATCTTCTTTAAGATTATCAATGAGATCGACGAGATAGAGTACTTCACTACAGCAATGAACTATGTCTTGATATAGTTTGTCCGGTGTTGGCAGTGGCGGAAGTGCTGACTTGATCTTTTCTAGTTGAGCTTGTGCTTGTCGAAGTTCTTTCTTCAGGTCTGCAATTTAGTGTTACTGGGAAGTTGTCGAAAAATCGAGTAAGTTGTCAGTTGTTCGGATCGTCATTTCGATTCGCATTCGCATTTGCAAAACTGGGAATATTCTTGAGAAAATTCGAGTCGTGATAAGAGCAAAGAAATCGTCACTGAGTGGCTTCGAAAAAGGTTTTTTCTTTTTTTTCTTCTCTTTTTTTTTCTCTTTTTTTTGCTTTTTTCTTTTTTTTTCTTTTTTTTCTCTTTTTTTCTCTTTTTTTTCTTTTTTTTGGGTAATTAAACTTTAATACACGATTATGTAGTAACATCATCATAACGGATAAGATCTTCTCAATGTACTCGATAACCTGAGATATAAAACATGCAGAAATGAGGTGAAAACGGAAAAGATCTTCTAAAGCACCTTCATAACCTGAGATATGCATAAATGAGCAACATAACAACCATAAATGAGGTTAACAAAGTAACAGCTAAGCGACACGGCATAGTCGTAAGGACAACAAGGAATAACCAAAACAACAAAAGTGAATTCCAGAGTAATATCGAGAAAGAATAGCAATACATACGCTGTAAATGAGATGGAGAGGAGAATATTAATTGACTTCGCATTATCGCCTTAAAGGAACACGTCAGGAATCAAATGATCTGGAGAGCTTTTGGTCGCTATCGCTACTTCGCAAAGAGATCGATACTAGATTCTGAGGAGAGAAGCAGAAGAAAGCAAGAAAGTGCAAACTGAGAGCGGCTGGACTGCTCCCGCTATTTATAGCCCGTTTTGGCGCGCTCCCGCGCGATCGCGAGGATTTGATCCGCGCCTATTGATCTGTGATCGGAGAATCGCGGTGTTTCCGCGATAGTGACCATAATCTTTTTTCGTGAGGATTCGGCTTTGGAAATTGCCTCGGTGGTTCGTCGGCATCCAACCACTGTCCGGAACGTCTCCTGTTATCATACATGATCCACTTTTCATCACAGGTGACAATTCGGTCCAAAACGGGTCGTTTCTGTTGCGCAAAAGCAGTGAAGAAGAAACCTCGAGACGTGCCAATTTCTGCCGGTCACTCAAATTGTGGGGCACCCACTTGTCGAGTTTTTTCACCTTCCCAATGCGTTTCAGACCATCCGCAACAGTGGATTTGCCAACGCCTAGCTTTTCTGCAATCTCTCGAACTGTTTGGGATGGGTCAGCCTCCACAAACGCCTTCAAATCCTCGTCAGGTATTGCTTTAGGTCGACCGCTACGAGGTTCATCTTCAAGGCTGAAATCTCCAGAACGAAATTTGTCGAACCATTGTCGCACGGTGCTTTCTCCAACACTATTGGGGCCCCACACCTGGTTAATTTGTCGAGCTGTCTCGACTGCGGATTGACCCAATTTTTAGTCGAAGAAAAATATCGTCCGAAGTTGCTCTTTTGACATGCTTCAAAAAGTCTTGGGAAAAGGGGGTTTATCAAGCAATGGTGGAACGGCAATTATACCATCAGATAGCGCAAAAAATTCTCTTCAGAATGTCGAATATTTAGTTACTTCTGCCAAACGAGGTTTTTAGATGACACCTTTATTGGCCTTACGTTTCGACCTTCTCGTCTTCTTCAAAGGCCTGAAAATGGCTCATTCTCTTCAGGATGTGCTACTGAGACGCAAGGGAGAATGACTTTTTAATCAGCGATGAATGCAAAAAAAATAGTAGCACAAAACGCTCAGAACGTTCCGGACAACCTAATACAACGGTAGCCGATTGGTGCGAATCGGCTATCGCCGCTCCACACTCAGTCCCCTGACACGCCCTGGTGTATGGGAAGAGTGGAACAACTGTATGTTCTTAATAGGTTGCTAAGGGGTTTTTCTCGACGTCTGACAAGCCTACTGAAACTTCCACTTACATTTATTCACTGTTTTGAAAACAGGGAAGCTGGGCTCTACTGTTCCGAGAGTTTGAACGGTTCGTTTGATGGAATTGGAAAAATAGTAAATAGCGTTTTCTTGCTCCTATCTTAAATTGGATGATTCGTGTGCGCACGGTAAACGTGCGCACGGTAAACATGTAAGGTATGTGAAACTGGAAAAGCGAAATTTCATGAAAATGATAAAGCGGAGAGTAAACGTAATCCTGGCGTCCAAACCTTTAGCGGAATCAAATAGAAATGCTCAGCTCCGAAGAATTCTTGGCTTCTCACCAACAGTCGGCGGCGGACTTCAAGCCTTTTCAAGTTTAGTAGAGCAGTATTGGAGATCTATACTTGTTTGTTTTGACCAGTAAGTAAATTTGACAGGTATTTGAACAGAAGCAAATATTACAAGAAGTGGGTGCTATCTGTGATTTTTCCGAGTATTTGTCAAGCCGCAAAGATTTGCATTGAATGATTCTTGGATTGTTTTGAAGCGGTGACCTTAGATAGCCAGATCATCACGAAAGACCTTTGCGTGTTTCCGAATTGAGA